CAAAAATCGCATACATATCGTTTCATATATGGTATCATATATTAAAAACAAATGCAAAAATCAGTCTATTTCATTCATATAAACTTACCGAAATTTTAACTTTATTCCCATGACTTACTGTTGTGGAACATGGCAGGTGTCCTTTTAAGTGAGTCCTTAGAGAAATCGTCATTGCAAAACTTGACTTCCGAATAAATGAACGCTGCCTCTAACTTCACGTTAGACGACAAGGATGATCTCTTATCTGACTTTCCACTTCTCATAGAACAAAAAACTCTTTGTGATATCTCTGTTTCAGCTTAAGAAGTTTCCGGAGTTATAAAAAACCTTGACTTCTTGTCCGGATAAAATGCCTGTAGTTGTCCTTAAGAATGTTAGCACAGAACTATCTCCCATCTTGATAAAATTATTTAACTTCTGCCTCGTCTATGGATGGCGTCAGCTCTACGTCCAGTTGACAGGCATGCGAGTGAACGCTCATCTCCGACTCAATATGAATCCACCAACCTCATCAGTGTCATCAGCAAACATTGTCAGTCACTTTAACAGTAACAACCTCCCGAATGACAAACAGTATGGATTTCACTCATCTAGGTACACTGCTGATGTATTAGCTATATTTAGACACGGAATCAGTGAAGCGCTTGATAATGAGTCCATCTTTAGAGATCTCGAAGGTTTTTGATGAAGTATCGTATAGGAGGCTGCAACACAAACTCTCCAGCAATGGCATTTCGGTGAGAGTCTTTTTGATAATCAAGTCCGTGTGAAGGCTCTATTCTTGGTTCTGCTACGTATTAACGATCTGTTTAAGAATAATCTCAGATCACTAGTAGATTTCTATCCAGACGATATCAATGTCTATGGGAGAACTACAAAAGATCAAGATACTAAGAACCTGGTATCTGGTCTTACCTCTGACCTTGCTCGCACAGCTCAATGGCGGATGAATTGTCTTGTAACATTCAATACCTCCAAAACCAAGTTACTAACGTTTCATCATCACAGAGTAAACCCGGAGTTTCTCTAGTTTCGTTGAATGAGGTACTATCAATGAATCTCTTTCTCTTGAAAGTCTATTGGGACTCAAGATCACTCCAGACCCCACGTAGAACTGGTATTTAAAAAAAAATAGTATCACCCCATGCAAGGTAATAAAGCCACTATGACACAAGTGATTTCCGAGTGAGGAAGAATTGGGAATAGAAACATTAATTAATGAACAGGAAGAAAAAAGAATAATCAGGATGACATTGCATTTAAATTTTTCGCAGATTAAAGTTGGTTGGAAAGCAGGGAGCCGGAAGGGATTTCTACAAGCGAGAAGTGCGAGAGAAGAAACTGTTAGCATAGAACTTACGGCTATATCTTGCCAATTCAACTATAAACCAATGAAACCTTGTTACTAATCTTGTACTGCGCTTAAATTAAACCAAAATACGACACTTGTAAAAGGGCCAGTTCACTCTACCTGACATCTCCGGCCATCTTTACAAGAGCCAGATCAGACCAAAAATAGACTCTTGCTGTCAAATCTGGGCTGGAGCTGCCACAGCCCACACTTTCCGGTCTGGTCCGAGTTCAAAAGCGTTTACGCCGCTTTGTTTCGTTTCACTTTTCCCACAGATGAAACCTTGCTAACCTCTTGTTACTCTACTACTGTTTTCATGGCAGGTGTTGGGGCGAACTACATTCCTTGGTTCTCCCAGTTGAGACCTTCACAACTAGGACTGGTAAGGAGGAAATTCCACTCAGACAGCTTCTTCCCCAGAACTGTTGCAATGTAGAACGGAATTCCGACAGGATGCTCCCCCCTATCATTACACTTTTAACCTCTTCAACTCGAGATTCAACTGTTATCTATCCTACATATCCTCATGATATACCGCCTCCATATCCGTCCTTAAAAATCCGCATTTAGTAGCCCTCTACCTTGATTGCCACTTGCGTCTTGTATTGGGTGAAAAATAGTCATGAAACTGTCAGTGGTGCACTACATCAGAAATTTGCAGAGGTTAAGAACCAAAAGGGTAGCAATCTTTGACATGACAAAAAAGTTAATATTGAATATTCTAACTCATCTCAGTCAATAAAACTCCTGCAGATTGCCATTTGTTTCGTTATGATAACTTTCTCTTCGTCGAAGCACATTGAAGAATAAGGAAAATATTAAACTAAATCACTCAGCTTTCTTTTTCAGAAATTCTACGACTTTATTAGTAGTAAATGAAAGAAAAAAGTCCTCGCATTGGCCTGTAGATCAGGGTTTTCCAACCCTGGGCGATATAGGCCACCCGTGGGCGATTTCAACTGTTGGGTGGGCGATCAGCAACTGAACAGAAAAAGTTGAGCGTAGGAAATTTTGGTGGGCGATATCGGATTTTGAGAATTAAGAAAGTATTTCAAATGCTACCCTCAAAAAATATTCAAAGCTGATATGCAAAAAACCTGTATAAAAAAAAATAAAATAAAATAAAATGAAAAAAAAAAACAGGAGGTTAATTGGGAATAACTGAGTCAAATTCCTAGATAAGACATAAATATCCTCCCAAACAAGGAATACTTGGGTATTTTCAATAGTTTTGAGAATGGTCATTATCATTCAAATTATTCTTTAGACAAAATAACATGTTTTTTTCGGTTAAAGATCAGATAAAAGAAGATTAAGAACAATAAATAAATATTTGCTGAATTATTATTTGTTGCTAGTAGTCTACATTTTTTTTTTAATTTTACAATTATGAACAAAAATCGTTTAATTTTTTGTCAACATTAGCAATGCTAACCCTAAACATAAAACTAACCTTGGCCATAAAACTAAATTATATATATATATATATATATATATATATATATATATATATATATATATATATATATATATATATATATATATATATATATATATATATTTATCAATGGTCAAATTTGCCGCAGCCGGATAAGTCAGTGTTATTTGTTACCTCCCTTTGGTATTTTTTATTACATCATAAAAGTTAGTTTATGAAGTCGTAAGAAACTTTTACCAAACAATTTTGGTATATTTTTGAATATTTACTATACAGGTGGAAAATATTTCCATGTGAAATGGGGAGCTAACGAAAAAAAAAGATTAGACAATCCTGGGCTATAGTTTATTGCCAATTAGAAATCAGATAAAAGAAAGATCAAGAACAATAAATAAATATTTGCTGAATTTTTATTTGTTGCTAGTCGCCTATAGTCTTTTTAATTTTATAATTATGAATAAAAAAAATCGTTTAATTTTTTTGTCATCACTTGCAATACAAACTCTATCCATAAAACTTGGCCATAAAACTAAATTATATATACAGTGTAACCCGGATATACGAGACCCGGATATAAGAGAAACCCGGATATAAGAGACTTAGTCTCCGGTCCCGACAACTCTCTTATATCCGGGTTACACTGTTTAATCCCCGATGGTCAAGTTAATAATACGAAAGCAGTTGGCCATGGCCTCATAAGTCAGCGTTATTTGTTACCTCCCTTTGGTATTGTTTTACTACACCATAAAGTCAATTTATGAACCAGTAACAAAGAGATACAAAGGACAGGAAATTGTGGAGAGCCATGATCGTCTACGTTCTGAAAGAGCATGGCACATAGAAGTAGAAGAATAAACTTTTACCAAGCAGTTTTGGTATAGTTTCGAATATTTACTATATAGGTAGGCAGTGGAAAATATTTCCATGTGAAAGGGGGAGATGATGCAAAACAGTTTGCAAACCCCTGGGCTATAGTCTATTGCCAATTAAATCTGAAAGCAGCAAGAAAAAGAATAAGAACTAAGAATAAGGAATAAGAATAGGAATAAGAATAGGAATAAGAATAGGAATAAGAACTAAGAATAAGGAATAAGAATAAGGAATAAGAATAGGAATAAGAACTAAGAATAAGGAATAAGGAATAAGAATAGGAATAAGAACTAAGAATAAGGAATAAGAATAAGGAATAAGAATAGGAATAAGAATAGGAATAAGAACTAAGAATAAGGAATAAGAATAAGGAATAAGAATAGGAATAAGAACTAAGAATAAGGAATAAGAATAAGGAATAAGAATAGGAATAAGAACTAAGAATAAGGAATAAGGAATAAGGAATAAGAATAGGAATAAGAACTAAGAATAAGGAATAAGAATAAGGAATAAGAATAGGAATAAGAATAGGAATAAGAACTAAGAATAAGGAATAAGAATAAGGAATAAGAATAGGAATAAGAACTAAGAATAAGGAATAAGAATAGGAATAAGAATAGAATAAGAACTAAGAATAAGGAATAAGGAATAAGAATAGGAATAAGAACTAAGAATAAGGAAATAAGAATAAGAATAGGAATAAGAATAGGAATAAGAACTAAGAATAAGGAATAAGAATAGGAATAAGAATAGTAATAAGAACTAAGAATAAGGAATAAGAATAAGGAATAAGAATAAAGAATAAAAATAACGAATAAGAATAAGAATAAAGGAAGAAACGGTTTAGATCTTGATTGGTCAGTTCTCAATCACCTGCCAAATTCACCGGACCTTGCACCAATCGATTATATGTTTATCGATCGTCGCAAAACGCTTTGATGTGGAGAACGCTCTCTGATGAAAACCAACAATTCAATGAAAAGTTTGTCACATCAAAACTTGCAGAGTTAGTCAAAAGCTCCCGAAGAGATGCTAGGTAAATAGCAAGAGATCATTGCAAATAATGATAAATACGTAACTGATTGTTTCATTTGTTACAGCTTATCAACCCTTTGCAGGTTATTTAAAACCAGAAATATTTTTAGACAGAAAGAATGTTTTTGTGAGGTTATAATAGTTTAGTGATACACGTCTTACTGATTAACCCATAGCTGGGGAAAGAAGAGCTGGATTTATACTCCCCCCCCCCAGGGTAGTTTGCGCATAATGTGAATATGGCGAACCCAATTTAGAGCTCGGTTCCCCGATTAACAATTCCATTACACCACCCGCACATCCAAGCTTACAGCACCCACTATTCCCAAACGCTAACCCATCTAGGTACTGACCAAGCTCGATGTTTCTTAACTTCACTGATCGTACGGGAACCGGAAATATGGAACTGAATAAAATCTAACTGTAATTTATTTTTAAAAACTAAATATAAAGGAAAAGGGAAAATATTTACGACTCAAGTAAATATATTAACAATTTCCATAGTGTTTTTCAAAGCGTAGGTTAGATGTGGCACAAGGCCGAAAGTATGGAGCACCCAGTGAGAATCGAACACGATATTAAGTCGTAATTGATCTAGCGAGACAAGCTTGCTAAACATTGCACCACGTTAAAGTGCCCTAAGATGTGACACAAGGCTGAAAGTATGGAGCACCCAGTAAGTAAAAGAAGTAAAGATCAGTAAATAGTACAAAGTTGCTCAAATGAACAGCTTATTGCACATATATGTAGGAATCGTCAGTGCTCCCAGATCGCTACCAAATATGACATAAGGTCGAGGTTTAAGGTGAACTTAACGGCAATACTGTAGAAAAATTGCTTAAGTCTTTCGGAGCTTAATCTAATAATAATTTCAAATTATCCAAGCCCAAGTAGGGAAAAAATAATTTTTTAAGCGAGACAAGGTTGCAAACAATCACACCACGTCGAAGTCCCCTAAAATTATTTTATAAGAGTAGCTTAGATGTGGCATAAGGCCGAAAATGTGCAGCACCCAGTGAGAATCGAACTCACTACTCAATCGTAAGTGATATAGCGAGACAAGCTTGCTAAATATTACACCACATCGATTTATTTTATAAGAGTAGCTTAGATATGGCACACGGCCGAGAGTGTGGAGCACCCAGTGAGGATCGAACTCACTATTCAGTCGTAACTGTTTTAGCGAGACAAGCTTGCTAACCATTACACCACGCCGAGGTGCTTAAAGTGATTTCCAAGCGTAGCTTAGATGTGGCACAAGGCCGAATGTAAGGGGCACCCAGTGAGGATGGAACTCACTATTCAGTTGTAATTGTTCTAGCGAGAAAAGCTTGTTAACCATTACACCACGCCGAGGTGCCCAACGATTAATTTACATATGAACCTATAAGTAGAGCTTAAACTGCCAAACTGCACTGGGATGTTGTAAACAGCAGTTAAAGATGGAGAAGAAAAACGGAGATGATCAATAGGCCGACTGGAAGATGGAATCAGCTAAAGAAACAAACGCAGCCGATTTTCTTTGATCTATTCCAAGACTGCTTTCTTTTGTCTCCATGCAAAGCGCGCATGCGTAGACAACAATGTAAGCTGAAAGCTTCGTCTTTTTATGTTGGGAAATTTGCAAGCCACATTGTCTCTTTTGGATGGAGCAGAAGATAGGCAGGTTAAGTAGGATATAAAAGGAAACAGGTAGAAAAGAGTGATTTATTTACTCGAAATGCATGGATAATATTTATAAAAACGTACACAGGCACATCTATTTGTTTATGCAGAGATACACCTATAGCGATCAATATATTGATATACATTTATATATATATATATATATATATATATATATTAATCTCTATATATATATATATATATATGTATGTATGTAAGTGGATAATAAGGTCAACAGACCTGAAGAATGCGTTCAAGCACGAAAAATGACTGTCGCCGTTCGGACACACACACACACACACACACACACACACACACATATATATATATATATAGATTAATAATTATACATATTACCTACGTCAGTTGTACGACTCAGAGTTTCATGTGTGTACAATCGTCAGGTACTAATATTTATGAACTTTATAGCTCTGTTACACTACATTGAGCACTATTTTGATCGCACCCAAAATTAAATAAATATTTATTTGTAAAGCTGTATATGAACGTAATCGCACAGATATATTGTTGGCCATATCTATTTAATTCATATTTAATTTAAATATATATATATATATATATATATATATATATATATATATATATATATATATATATTATAAATTAATTGATTTAAAAATATGTTAATTATAATATTAATGCTCTGTAAATTTATTCTATTTTTAAAAATAAAATATCTATAAGAACACCGGATTTTATATCTTACTGTTCTTTTCTTTTTTTTATATATATATATATATATATATATATATATATATATATATATATATATATATATATATATATATGTAAAATTGGACAACCGGACCAGCATCAAGCATGAAACAGACTGTTGTCGCTCAGTGTTGATCTCAGTGTCCAATTTTACATTTACATATGCTTTATTTCTGGTATTGTGCGATTTTACCAAAAATGCAAAATTCGTTCAAAACTATATTTTTATCCCCATATATATATATATATATATATATATATATATATATATATATATATATATATATATATAATATATAATTCTATGTAGAAGAATTTACACACAATTAAAAAGGTAAATTTCAGTTTAATATACATGCAATATCTTTATATTTTCATAAGTGTGTGTATGAGTTTTTTTGTGCGT